TGTATAAAAATAGCGCAAATAGATATGGTGTACATTCAGACAATCTAAATGTCATTTATCATGTTGGATATTAATGAATACTCATCAAATACATACAGACTTTTGATTTGTCAAAACTAAAGATAATTTGTCAACTCGGTATGTAACTTACTTTGAAGCCCAAACCATGTTGATATTGTTGCATCCGCCACCAGGTAAATAACGGTTTTATAACTTTTTCAATGAAAACATTTGTGTACTAAAGTTAATTTATTACCCAATCAGACTAAGGTGCTACTGGGTAGTGTCCTATCAGTAGAGCGATAAATGGAGTGTGGACACTAACCGGTTTGTTAGTATGAATCGAATAACGTTTGCTGGGCTTTATTATAATGAGAAATTGAGTATTGACTGTCCTGTCAGGACTAAAAAAAACAATGTGTACTTTCCTCTTGTTATGAAGGTATACTTGGTACTGATGGTATTTCATTACGAATATAAAAGATACTAGTTACTGTCAGTGTAACAATTTATAATCTCCTTTCAATATAAAAAGACATGCTCTGTTAGTTTGTACACGAGATTGCACACGAGTACGACAGTATAACTGAATAATGTCTATCGTCCATTTATTATAAAGAAGTCCAGGGAGCTGCCATGACAGTATTGGGATATACTGTTTTATACTGACAATTATAATGCATAATGTGCACTGCCTTTACCATACAAACGTGGATCAGTGAACTGATGATGTATCGTCGTTCTATGTGTGAATGTTGCCAACAGATTAAAAAAAATAAGTCAAGTTCGTAATGAATATTCATATTTTTGTCAATCCACCTACATAATCATTTGATATAAAGTTCACCGCGTTAGAATAAAAGGCAAGTGGGAAGTTGAATCCGTCTTATTGCATCATTTTATAATGTAATCAATAATAGAAAATAATATACATTTCTTACCACTTTCTGTTGCTTCGTTTATTCCCTACAAATCAAAACGATAATCAATACGTGTCAAATCGAAAAATGTATCTAATGTTATATTCACTGAATACGATAACAATAATAGTTATGACTTACCAGCACATATATTATACATAGTGCTGTAGTGGAATGTGAAGGATAACCTCTATCTCTTGCCATGACTGTT